GATAATTGTGAAAGAGAACACAGGCTTCTTCAGAGTGGAAATAAGCAAGCAAATAAATAAAGAGACAAGGGAGAGCACAGGCTTGAAGAGCAAGTCTATCTTTACATTCTTAGTTAAGTTTACATGCAAGGTCATTCCTCACAGTTAATCGCCGTCTTTGTTTATTGTTTTTGGGCCACACTCATTGGTGCTCAGGGGATCACTCCAGGTAGGCTTGGGGGACTATTTGAAGCCAGGTCAACTGTGTGTAGGCAAACACCCTTCCTGCTGTTCTATTCCTCTAATACCCCATTATTCTTTTAATCAACTGAGAAATCAGAGAGTTTCATGATTTTTCATTAACCTTATTATCCCTATTTTTCAATTAGTAGCATCTTAAAATTCCTCTGAAACAGCTCCATGTTTGATTCTTTCAATTTCTCCCTCCTCAGATTTTTAGTAATTTCAAAATTAAGATCTTAGTTTATGATCTTCATGTACTTAGTTTATATCTATTTGCTTTATAAAAGACACTTGAAATTTCCCCTTTTTATGCACTGTAGCTAATTAATAAGTAGGTGATTACTATGTGTTTTTAAAGAATAAACCTGGTGTCTCAAAGAAAGAGATTAGAATATCTCAGCTATGTGATTTATTTTGTGCTAAGACTCAATATTTTTTTAAAATATCTCATTATAACACTGTGATATACCAAGTTGTTCATAATATAGTTGTTTCAGGCATTAAATGCTCCGACACTAATCCTACCACCAGTGTGACCTTCCACCCACCAGTGTCCCCAGTTTCCCACCCACTGCCCCAGTCTCCTCTCTTAGCAGACACACATTTACTTTATATTGTCTGTTACAGCACATAGGCAAGTGGAATTATCAAAAATTAGAGTTATAGCACAGCAGGCAGGGCATTTGCCTTGCATGCAGCCAACGTGGGTTTGATTTTTCCACCCCTCTCGGAGAGCCTGGCAAGCTACTGAGAGTATCCCGCCCACACGGCAGAGCCTGGCAAACTCCCTGTGGCATATTCAATATGCTAAAAACAGTAACAACAAGTTTCACAATGGAGACATTACTGGTGCCCGCTCGAGCGAATCAGTGAACAATGGGAGAACAGTGCTACAGTGTTACAGTGCAATTTTTATATTAAAATATAATATTTTAAATGCTTGAATTTTAATGAAACAATACATTAATTTATAAGACCTTATCTGTACTACTTAGTGATAAACAATTTTGGAATAATTTTAACGTTCAAATTACTTGATTTAAGCACATATTAGTTTCACCTGTACATCATCATTCAATATTTGTATATATTGTAAACTATCACTATAAGAAGTCTGTCCCATACATAGTTACAAAGTTTTATTGCTGAGTATGTTTAAGCTAAAAATGTTGCTCTCTTAAGCAACTTTTACAAATACAAAATATGTCATAATTAACTGTAGTCACCTCTCTTATACTCTATAAGTTACGCATTTTTTAAAATTGGAGATTGCAACTTTTAACACTTTACCCACTTAGTATCTACCATTACTATAGCAACCTTCAATCTTTACTTTTGTTTATAAATTAATTTATTTGAACTACATGTATAAGTGAGATAATACAATATTCGTCCATGTCTCACTAATTTTGTCAAGCATATATGTATAAAAATCCATCCTTATCATAAGTAAGTCCTACTTTTATAGTTTTATAATATTCTGTTATTCCCATGTGTTTGTATACATTTTCCTTATGATCTTTTGATTTTTTCTTTGTGTGTGTGTGTTACTGGAGTGATAGCACAGCGGCAGGGCCTTGCACTTGGCCGACCTGACCGACCCGGGTTTAATTCCTCCGCCCCTCTCCTAGAGAGAGTATCTCGCCCGCACAGCAAAGCCTAGCAAGCTATCTGTGTTGTATTTGATATGCCAAACACAGTAAGAACAAGTTTCATAATGAAGATGTTACTGGGCCCGCTCGAGCAAATTGATGAACAGGAGGACAGTGACAGTGACAGTATGTGTGGGGGACACCTGACGTGCTCAGGGGTTACTCCTGACTCTGCTCTCAGAAATTACTCTGGCAGTGCTCAAGGGACCATATGAGGTGCTGGGGATCCAACCTGGGTTGGCCTGGTGTGTAAGGAAAATTCTCTACCCACTGTATTATAGGTCCAGCCTTGCCTTTTCATCTTCCTATTGATAGAGAAGCTTACACTACTTCAATGTTTCAGTTGTAAATAATACTGCAATAACTATTGGATATTAATATATTTTTGAGTTAGCATGTTAAAAAGTTCAGATACTAAAAAGTTGAACAACTAGATAACATTGCATTTTTATTCTCAAAAAATAGCACTCTCCATACCATTCTTTACAGTGGATAGATCAGCTTACATTTCCACCAGCAGTGAGCTATCATCTCTCTTTCAGTGCCAAAGATTACCTCTTATCCTTCAGATCATAGTCATCTGAACAGGTATAACATGATATATCATTTTTTTATTTTCATTTTATTGAAATGTATTAGTCATATGTGCACCTTCTTTTAAAAATATTTAGATACGATTTAATACTTTTTTTACTATTAAGTTATGTGAGTGATATATATGTATATATATATATATATATATTTACGTTCTTACCAGTTATATAGAGCCTGGCAAGCTCCCCGTGGTGTATTCAATATGCCAAAAACAGTAACAACAAGTCTCACAATGCAGACATTACTGGTGCCTGCTAGAGAAAAATCAATGAACAACGGGAGGACAGTGCTAAAGTGCTACCAGTTATATGATTAAAAAATTTTTATCTAATTTAATAGATTATCATTTAATATTATTAGTACCCTTTATTGTATATATATACATATTTTAGTTTAATTCATAGTAGTCACTTATTTTTGCTTTTGCAATTGCTTCAGTTGGTTGCTTCAGCGGGCTGGAGCGATAGCACAGCAGTAGGGCGTTCGCCTTACAAGCAGCCAACATGGCCGACCTGAGTTCGATTCCTCCGCCCCTCTTGGAGAGCCCGGCAAGCTACCAAGAGTATTCGATATGCCAGACACAGTAACAACAAAGTCTCCAATGGAGACGTTACTGGGCCCGCTCGAGCAAATTGACGATCAACGGGAGGGCCTTTACCTACCTCGAGCAGTAAATAGATATTTGGATTTTATTTTCATATCTTAGCATTGAATATTTCTTCATTAACAATGGGATGAAGATATTCTTCAAGATTCTAATTTCAGTTCTTTTTATTATCTAAGTGGTTGTTGTATCAGATGGCATTTTTATGTTCAATTTTTTGAAGAAGTTATTTTTCAATTGAAGACTAATGGAAACAATGTCAACAAAATATGAAAAATATCACTTGACAGAGAAACAAAATATGGAAGCCCAGACATGAAAACAGGGGGAAATTATAGGTTCAAATTCTTAGATTGCAATAGAAAAGGGGAGATGATTTCAGATGAACTATCTTAGAGAGGTGACAGTTTATGTTCTTCCAATATATACATATTTGTTATAAAAATTCAATACCTTTATGTACAGTCTCATGTTCTTTTTGAAAGTGTTTGTTCCGAATATCCTATCTATTTAGCTGATTTTACTTAGTTTAGTTTCTTTCCTTTTTTCGTTTTTTTTGGGGGGGCACACCCTGAGATATACAGAGGCTACTCCTGGCTCTGCTCTCAGGAATCACTCCTGGCGGTGCTCCAGGACCCAACCTGTGTCATCCATAGGCAAGGCATGCATTATACTCACTATACTATCATATATCATATATTATATATCATTATACATCATACTCACTATACTAGCCCAATTTTATTTCTTTTTCCCCATTGTTTTGTGTTGGTATGGCAGTATAGTCTACATCTGGCAAGATATTTTTCAATTCCAAAGTACTCAAATTATTAGAAATAATAATTATTAAAAATTTTCTTTTTTGTGTTTTTGGGCCACACTTTATGACCAGGAACTTTGTGGGTGCAAAATCTCAAACCTTGGTCAGCCAAATACAAATGGGAGCCCTATTCACTGTACCATTGCTCCAACACAGAAATAATTTCTAATTTTTTCCTATGTTCCCTTTAATTGTATGTATTTTTTAAAAATATCAAACTATTTTGGTTATTATTAAAGTCTTAGGATTTTAGATGTTTTGTATAATTCTAAAGTTTACTGTTTGCTTGGAGATTTTTTTCTGTGTAAGCATATATTTTTTTTTAAGATGGAACTGTTTTTGTTTGCTCCAGATGTCATGTTATAGTAAATTTTGCAATTTTGTTCTTTCCTCAATTTTTGTTGTCTAAAACAATATCTGGGAGCTAGAGAGCATACAGAGATAAAACCTTTGCCTTGTGTATCAGTAACCTGGATTTGATCCCAAGCCCCGTTTGTGGTCTCCTGAGCATAGCCAGTAGAAGTTCCTGAGCACAGAGCTAGGAATTAGCCCTGAACACTGCTGGCTGTGTCTCCCCTCAGAAAAAATAAGTAAAACAGTACTTGTGCCAAAATTAGCACCCCACACATGTGTTTAGTGAATCAATGAATAGATAATTTGAAGATTTTGGATTGGGGAAACAATGACAACTATTACTTATTCTTTTTAAAAAGAATGAGGCATCTTACTAACCTATAATTCTTTTGATAGTTTTAATTTGAAGTTATACTTGTGTGATTTATTTATATATTTTGGGTATTGTTAGCTTAGGGGTAAAACTAAAAGATTCAAATTCTACTTCTGTGCTGAGGGTCATCAGCAGTTCTCAGGGTATCAGGAGGTGCCAGGGTGCACCCAGGGGTCTGGCATGTTGGTATTCACTCCAGTTCTTTGAGTTCTGAACAGCATTTAAAATTTCAAAAACTTTGTTAACATGTTTATTTATGGAATTATCTAAAAAGTGAAGATTCCTCTAGATCCAGAGGAATAGTAACTTTTGAATAAGTTAATTTGATTGGAGAATTTGAGATCTTATTATATACATTATGCTCATTTATATATTTGTCTCTTATTTCTTAGAAAACATCATTATTCTTTTGATTGAATTGTTGAAGGCCTCTTTGACTTGCTTGTTCCTCAGTGTGTAAATGAAGGGGTTCAGCACTGGAGCTATAGACGTTGTGAGCACTGTCACACCTTTGTTAATGGCTACTGATTCCTTGGCTGAAGGTTTGATATAGATGAAGATGCAGCTTCCATAAGTGATTGAAACCACAATCATATGGGAGGAACAGGTAGAAAAGGCCTTTTTCTTTTGCTGAGCTGAAGGAAATCTTAAAATTGTCTTGATGATATACATGTAGGACAGAACTACACACATCAGTGTTATAATGAGGGTCACTACAGCACAGGTTATAACAGTCTGTTCCATGAACCAAGTATTTGAGCATGAGATTTTCAAGAGAGGAGATGCATCACAGATAAAATGATCGATGACGTTTGAATCACAAAATTCAAGATTTAGGCCAAGGCTAAGTGGGGGGATTATAATAAATAGACCAGAAACCCAACAACAAAGGACAAGTCTTCTGCACACTCTGCTGCTCATGATGGTTACGTAATGCAGGGGTTTGCAGATGGCCACATAGCGGTCATAGGACATGGCAGCAAGGAGGAAAAATTCAGTTATACCAAATAAGTCAGTAAAAAATACTTGGCAGGCGCAGGCATTGTAGGTAATAAAATTGTCACCTGTTGCTATGTTATACAAATATCTGGGAATGCAAGCAGATGTGAATGAAATCTCCAAAAGGGAGAAATTTTGTAGGAAATAGTACATGGCTGTTTGAAGTTGGGCATCTACCAGCACGAGGGAGATGATAGTCAGGTTCCCAATTATGCTCAGAGTGTAGGTGAGAAAGAGAAGAATAAAAACCATAACCTGCAGCTGTGGGTCTTCTGTCAATCCCAGAAGAATAAATGTTGTTACTGTACGGTTTTTCATTGTTGACTTTTGACTTCTGTTAAATCTGCACATAATATAGAGATATTTCATCATATATTAACAGTATAAAATCTATAATCAGTATAAAATCTATAATCAGATTTTCTTATTAATTGCAGCTTTAAAAAGTTAGAAGGAGGCAGGATATAAAAAAGAAGCTCTGGCAGATAGAGAAGAGACCACCAAGTAAAAGGTGCTGGGAGGGCCTGCTCGGCATGGAAGATACATGCTGAAAGTAGACTATAGACCAAGCATGATGGCCACTTAATACCTCCATTGCAAACCGCAACACCCAAAAGGAGAGAGAGAACAAAAGGGAATGCCCTGCCACAGAGGCAGGGTGGGGTGGAGGGAACGGGGTGGGGGTGGTGGGAGGGATGCTGGGACCATTGGTGGTGGAGAATGGGCACTGGTGGAGGGATAGGTACTTGATCATTATACTGAATGATCGACTGAAATGCAAGCATGAAAGTTTGTTAAGTCTGTAAAACTGTATCTCACGGTGATTCACTAATAAAATTTTTTTTAAAAAAGAAGCTCTGGGAGAAGTATGTGTGAATACATATGTATATGTATATCTCTCTATATATGTAAACATATAAATATACATAATATACAAGTTACTACACAGTGTGTAGAATAAACTCAGGTTGTCTGACATATATTAATATTTTAAGAAGACACAAATTGTCAAGTACAGATATAAGGAAATTCATTTTGTTACTTTTTTGTCAGAGTAGCATTGCGTTCAACCTTTATATATTTCAGTTTTGCATCATTAAAAATAAAACTTGTTGATATCTTACATTACATTTACCACTGAAATTTCAGTTCTTTTTTCATGTAATGAATCCCTTTCACCCATCTTTCCTCTTCCTTTCTAATAAACACTAGTCTTAAGATCCAAGATTGTGCATAACGTGGGCTTCTAATTCACAATATACTTATGCAGTATCCATTTCTAATTTCTCAAAGTGCCTTAGTTAATATACTTCAAAGATACTAAAGATATCATGGATCTCTAACTAGTTTGTTTGTTAGCATTCTCTTTATTTCTTCACTTTTCACCTTACTAATATTTACTTTGTACCGTGACAGTCCCTGTCTGGAAATAACATCTTTCAGATAGCCATTGTTTTTTGAGGGCCACTCCTAGTGATGATCAAGGATGTACTCAGGTACCTTGGCTCTGTACTCAAGGATCATTCCTGGCAGGGCTTGGGGCACCACAGTGGGTGCAAACACATAGAATATGTGTTGAGCTCATGCAAGCCAAGCACCCTACCTGTTATACTATCGCTTTGACCAAATCTGATTTTTTTAAGGACTCAAAAATTTACAGGCATACATAAAACTCATGATTTCCAGATCTCAATCTCTTTGTTTTGATATTTAACTTTTAATAAAAAATAGATTATATTTGCATGAGAACATCCCATGTGGCAGGTATTTTAGCAAATACTTCTCAGAACATCTGTATTCAGTTTTTAACTCATCCAAGTTTCTCGTATTTTAACCTTATCTTTTTTTGTGTGTGAGGCTGCTCTCGATCAGTGCTCAGGAAGAGGGTGACTCTTGGTGACTCTTCTTCAGCCAGTGCTTGTATATTCAGTGCCACACCAATGTTACTCCTGGTCTCTAAGGTAATACCAGCAGTTCTAGGGGGCCTCCAGGACTGCACTGAAAATGTGGGGAGACCAAGTGGTACCTGGAATTAACTGGGCTTGGTTACTTTCAATGCATGTTCCTTAAATGCTGTGCTATCTCTCTGCCCCCATAGCTTCATTTTTAAGCCTTATGGAAATTTCCCATTATGTACGATAATATGCTCCCTCTAATTTTTTGTCACTGTGATCCACTAAGAAGCAATTCTTGTTATTATGGTTACATTTTACAAAAAGAAAAAAAAACTAACTTGTGAGCATCATTAAAAGCCTATCCTTTTCTTTCTATAATGGCTCACAAGAACTAATATACCCAAGAGCTTTTGTCGAACAAAAATTTTAATGTAAATTTACCTGTAGAATGTTTTTAAGTCTAATACCTACAGAGCTATTTTCATTTTTATTTAAACTTCTAGTCTGAAGCACTTTATGTTAATGTACATTTACTATGATTTTGGAACCTATTTTTTAATAAAGCGTATTTTTCTTCTCTGTCTCAGTTTATTGCCACGGGATAAGAAAGAAAAAAATATGTTTTCTTGCTCTATATTCTTGTACAGTTTTGTTAGTGAAATTTTTGTATTTGAGTATGTTGTGAGGTATTAATTCTAAGTTTGTATTAATAATGCTTACAGGGCTGGAGCGATAGCGCAGTGGTAGGGCTTTTGCCTTGGGCGCAGCCAGCCTGGCCTAGCCAGGTTTTATTCCTCTGCCCCTTTTGGAGAGCCCGGCAAGCTACCGAGAGTATCTTGCCCTCATGGCAAAGCCTGGCAAGCTATCTGTGGCGTATTCAATATGCCAAACACATTAACAACAAGTCTCACAATGGAGACGTTACTGGGCCCACTTGAGCAAATCGATGAACAATGGGAGGACAGTGACAGTGATATAGATTGTTTTAAGTTTTTGATGATTAAGTATATTTTAGAAATTCAAACAATTTAGTTCCAGGCTGGGGACTGAGTACTTCTGAGAATGAGTCCTTGAACTTAAGTTGGAGTATCCCCCTGACATTGCAGGGTATGGACCCCAGTATTCCCCTGAATATTTCAGGGTATGGCCTCCAAACCAAATATTAGATATGTTTTTTATGTGTGTGAATTAAGATATTGTTTTACTGATGTGGGTTTTAATCAACTATTATTCACCGGAGAAAGCTGTTAAATACCAGTCACCAACAAGTAAACAGAACTAGGTTTGTATAATGAGTCTGATAGTCTATTCTAAGGAAGGAAACTGAAAGATATATTGAACAACTATCTTATGTCAAATTGACATATGGGAGAGACATTTCTGCTGCTCTTCTCCGACCTTCCTTCAACCTCCGTTCTAATATCTCAGGCAACATATACATAGTATTATTGAACAAACATACACAGCAGTATCACGATATGATATGTCTAAAAACATATTTGCTTTTTCCTTTTACCATGTCATAGGTATTTTTAAAAATATGGCTGAGTGAAATGTGGCTGTTTTTGTTTATTCTACTTCCAAAAGAATTATTTGGAATGGAGACAGGGATCTCTAGTGAGAATGCATCTTTAACAAATGTGTTATTCTTGTGGGAAATTAAGGTAGATGATTATACAAGTATAACAATATATTCTCTTTTCTGATGAGAATGTGATATAGACAAAACATTTCTAGATATCTTTCAGATGTTAGTCCATTTGAATATCAGCATACTTGCATAAAACATTTAGAACATATTGTGCATTCTAAAAAATAAAAAAGGTTACATTGCTAAATACAGAAATGCTCACATTTAGCTCACATTTCCAATTTTAAAACAAAAATTGATAAAATATGTTTTTCAGAGTATAAGAAAATGAAATCACATAGCGGTAAATGTAATTTAAATGACAACTTTTATGTCACTTACCATTATGGCAGGAAATCATAGTTTATGCTGTTTCTGAAACACTTGAAATCTTAAAATCTGTAAACTGGTAATTGTGAGATTTTTTCATACAAACCAGAAAGTTTTCTTTTGAAAATGAACCTAGTGTTTTTTAGTGTCTTTTACTTTATGTATCTAAATCTCTGAAATATCTTCCATCAATAGCGTAAGACCCTTGCTGTGCTATTATAGTACTCCATCAAATAAATAAATAAATAAAATTAATGTTGTGGAATGTCATGAGTATTCTCCAATTTCAGAAAAGTCTGCTATTGCTAGTGTGAGCACATTCACCATATCTAGCTCTACCTTTCCTTCATTTGATAAAAATGCAACTAAACGAATAAACAAAAGAGTCCCTGGTGACCTAAGTAGGGAATCATTAATGAATCTTCAGAGCAATAAAAGTAGGGGTAAAAAATTATGTTAACTCTGGCTTCTTTGGAGACAGTGTCTTTGGGGACAGAAGAAAGAAGCAGTAGAGAAAGGCCAATACAGAAATAAAAGAATCTTAATTGTAAAAGGAAATTTAAATGAGAGATCTTATTGTTGTTTTAATCTATTGAAAAAGTAAATTTAGTTTCATTTTGCTGTCACAACACATAAACAAAATATGAGATATGAAAAAATCATAAAGAAAACTATATTTGTTGTTACTACTTTGCTTTATAATTTATGTATTTGGAAAGTCTTCATTAGAAAAGAAAAAAGGAAACTAAATAAATAATATTGCACACGTTTTAACTATATTACTAAGTTTCCAGCCAGTTTTCTTCAACTATATATATTTATAGTGTTATTCAAAAATAGTACTCGCTACAACATTTGTGTAACTGCATATGTGAAATATTCTTTAACTTCCAAATAAAATCTAAGTTAATAAACATATAGCTATGAGTTATTATTATTTATTTCAATAAATTAACATTTCATTACCTTTTTAAGTAATTCACTATAAATTCTTAAGAGTATTTTCAAATATTTTATTTTTATTTTAAAATTATTAAAGTTAAAAATATTGAGTTTAGTAATATGTTTACAATAATGTTTAAGTTTATGGTATTGATGTATAAAGTTTTTGTACACCACCACCACTACCAGACCCTCCTTCAATTGTCTTTATTTCTCCTCTGGCCTGATCTTCATTCCTCTCCTATGATCCCGGTGTTTGTAATAAGTAATGTTATCCAAGGCCAAGACAAGGACTCTGTTATCTGATGCAGTCTACTCCCTTGATTTTTCTCTATTCCATATGTGAGACTATCCTGTACTTGTTCTTTACCCTCTGATATTTCATTTAACACACCACTCAGAAGTTTAGATTATATGTTTATAATAGTACTGATATTTAGGATTTTGGTGTACACTTACCTTACCTCATTACCACCAAATACCCACAACTTCCCACCTCTACAATATGCTCTTAGACACTT